AGTTTTATAACAGTCTATCCTTATCTAGTTGGCACCTTTTATTATTCTCAGTGTCTGGGAGTCAGACCATGAGTCAGGTGTCCCCAGCTTGATGTTGCTGAAATATTGCTAAAAGCAACGTATGAACAATACTCCGCACTCAGCAATATTCCAGCTATATGAAGGCGGTCTGTAAATAATCGAGTGTTGACCAGACAATCCAGTGATTGACATTAGATCATCGACATGCATCAACCAGGTCAGCGAGCCTGACCACCCAATACCGCTGGTCCCGTTGGTCGCTTCTTATAAGCATAGTCGCCTCTTACGACAAGCATAGTCGCCAGTCAATGCTTATCTAGTTGGGACCTTTTATTATTCTCAGTTTCTTGGGGAAATATAATTAGACCAGTAGTCAAAACAATAAGAATGTCATACGTTTGATAATCGTCTTTCTCGGAATATAGAATTGTTTTAAAAGAAACTAACATCATAATTGGTTGGAGAGGTATATAACTGTCAATCATACATAAGTATATATAACAGAAACACATATCCAGTAAATGTGTGACAAATGTTTAAACGAAAATTTTCTTGGGGTAGCCTAATGGTTTTAAATGTTTACTTTTCATGCCGAAGACCCGGGATCTATTTCCCACATGGTAACAAGGTGCGAATCTCTTTTCAAGTGTCCTCAGCTTGATACTGCTGAAATATTGCTAGAAGCGACGTATATACTCTACTCACTCACTCACCCACTCACTCGTATCAAGAAGTCACATCAATCATTTAAGCATTTCATTATTGTTGAAATAAGCTTAGCACCTCCAGTTTTGGACATTATTTTCATTTATTATTTTAGATTATTAAATAATTAACAATATATCTTCGCCCTGTTTTATAGCCTATATTCCCCGTGTGGATTGTGGGGTGGAAAGGGTCCCAGTTAAAAAAGCCGACCAAACTATCAATCTCACTTTCGGCTATTTACGTCAAGCCCTCTGTTGGCAGATTGCAAACCTATCGCTTTGGCAGGCTCGGTGCTTGGGCGGCATCGTATCGGCGGTGTGGGACTTTATCTACATCATAAGTCAATGTGTTGTCTTTTCCAAACTGTCGAAACAAAGACTGCACATTGCTGATGACAGCGTTAAACAAGAAACAAGCAAATGAAATACATATATATATAGGTATACTACGTGCGCTTCGCACATTATAGTGTCATATGCGCATCTCCCAGGTACGCCATCTTTTCATCTGTCTCATAATATTTGTTATTTCGATTAGTTTAAGCCTCATCAGTGAGGCTTTGGGATAACAGTTTCCCATTATTTGGCTTTGGATTAAAATGGGCAAGTTGTGGTTGTTTTAGTTTTTATATTTTAGAAAATAAGGAAAATAGGTTCAACAGACTGTTTTCCTAGTGAAATTATTGAGTATGAAGCATCATGGTTATCTCTCTTGTTCAGGATTGACTGTGTATCCTTATAATTAAATTCGACAACGAAGACATGTGTTATCTAGTTACAGCTCAATAAAAACCAAATACATATATCAAAGCAGACAAAAATGATGAGATTGATAAACATTTCAGGCGTAGGAATACACACTGTGGGATATGAATGTTGCAGGGGAAGTGAATGGCGAGAAATCACGAGCTGCGGGTGTGTGTTGAAGTGACATTTATTGCATCGGACATGGCAAAGTGTACAGAATCAGTGAGTGAGCCAGTCTATCAATCTATCACCACTGTGGGGGACACCAGGGAGTGTCTACAAACCCACATCATGAACATAGGATTATGGCATTGCTGCGCTATTTGTTGTTAATGTATTGCCCACCCGTGAAGATTCAGGTAGAGAATAGGTATTCAGCAACCCTTGCTTGCCGTGAGAGGCGACTATGCTTGTCGTAAGAGGCGTCTATGCTTGTTGTAAGAGGCGACTAACGGGATCGGGTGGTCAAGATCCCTGACTTGTATGCGTAGATCGATGCTCATGACGTCAGTCACTGGATTATCTGGTCCGGACTCGATTTTTTACAGACCGCAGTCATATAGTTGGAATATTACTGAGTGCGGCGTTAAACAACAAACAAACAAACAAATCCATGTCTTGCCTGTGCAAATTTTATAAGCAGAGTCACTTATATGTGTGCAAATGCAACATAACAGGAATAGAATAACCTGTCCACCCTTAAGTAAAATGGACCAACCGCTTGGACTCTTAATCCAATCTTATGCTAAAACCAATAAAGATAAATAACTACTTGAAAAGGAAAAGCTAAAACAATATCCTTGAAAACTATACAATATCCTGTTACATGAATAAGGTGATTGTTTAATTCATGCACATAACTTGACACGCCCACAGAGTCAGCAGCCAATCAACGGTGAGAAGAATCAAACAGACTTCAAAGGACCTGTCAGGCAAGAGGCGAGAACAGAAACTGTCAGACTGTATACAACGAATTGGAACAAATATGTCAGAGAGAAGACAGCTGATTCAAATGACATGGTCAGTAACGGTCAGATTCAAACATTAGTTCCTTGAGAATGGGAAGACACAGTTGGGAAAATGCGAGTAAGAAATGAAACCAAAAGACATGAAATTTGTGGAACCAAGACGGGCTGTTTTATTCCTTGTAGGCCTCCAGGCTCGATGGGTGGTTTGAATGTTCAAGAGGTTGGTTCTTTTCCGACTAAATTTCCAAACTTTACCAGGAAGTCTATTTTTAAGTGAGTCTTAGCGCAGAGAGAAGTGTTCGTCCTCCTACCATCCATCGGATTAAACATCATACAGTTTCATCTCCCCTGCATGGTTGTAAGGGAGACAACTCCTCCGACCCTCTAACTGACAGCGGCAGTTCATGTACCCCTTCTGATGGCATCATCAGCCGAGGCCCAGCAAGATTCACTGCACTCTACAACACACAATAAATATTGTCAATAAAGGCATATATTTTTTTTAATAACTTCTAAAAATTATAACTTAATGCATTCTAAACTGCGAGGTTATGTTTGCTTCAATCTTTTGATCTCATTATTTACTGATTAAGCGACCCTCGAACGAACGCTTAAAATTTGTTTCTCTCTGGGCAACCAGCAGCTAATGTCGACAACCAAAGGATTATTAGCATAAATTTGCAAATATGTTTTGACCCGCGTAATCTGCACCATCTCCGCAGAGTATATAGCAACAGAACATATTATGTTGCTGTCTACAACGGACAGTATTACATTCCATGCATTATCTGTAAATGTAAAATGTTGCTGGAATGAATATAATATTTTTTTCACAAAACTCTGCAGAGTACTCTAGAAACAGGTTTGAATATTTTGATGAGAATTAAACTTTACTATTTCTTGCGTTTATGATGGTATCGTTAATCGATATATTTAGGTATATCGTCATTGTTTGATTTCAAGGAATTAATTATACTCTTCAAAAAAAGAAACGCAAAACGGGTAGTTTGGGCCATAAAAGCAAAATTAGCGGACCAAGAGGTGCAAAATGAAGAGTTTTAATGTGTTATGGTCTTAGTGACAAATTTCAAGACAAACCATTAGTCAGGAAATACGTACGATTCGGAAAAAAGCGCACCCAGTGCATTAACAAAAGGGCCTTGGAGCTGCACGTACTGCACGTGCAGCAGCATTATGAACGGTATTAAAGTTCAGGGTTTTTGATAGCCTGGCATCTGCATCAATCGAACAGTGACAGTTCAACATGTCACGATTAACAGAAGTGCAAAGAAACAACGCCATAGGCCTCTTGCAGGCAGGGGAATCCCGATCAGGGTTTTCAATGTAGCGCCCAGCACAATCACAAGGCTATGGGATCGGTTTCAACAGCATGGGTTAACACGTAATCGGCCAAGGTCGTGACGACCAAGAGTAACCACCCCGCCCAAGATCGCTACTTGCGACTGCGCCACCTACGTGAAAGGACGACCACAGCCACCTCAACCGCATCCCAAATACCCGGACTGCGCAAAGTCTCCGACCAGACAGTACAAACTGTTAAGGAGCAGCAGGTATAGGAGCAAGACGTCCTGTTTGACCCGTCATATTGAGTCGACAAAATCGTCAATAACGACTGCCTTGGTGTCCTCAAATCTGGGTATGTCCTCAACCGCGATAGAGAGATGTCTGGTTCGGTGACGAATCAAGATTTCTTCTCCGTTGAGGGGAGTGAAGAGCACGGGTGTACAGACTTCGGGGAGAACTTTACGCCGGTAACTGCGTACTGGAAGTGGACAGCTTTGATGTGGGTAGCGTTATGATGTGGGCGGATATCTCTCATCATGGCTAGACAGGTTTGGTCCATATCAAGTGCAATCTTAACGATACATCAACGAAATTCTCCTGCTACATCCAATTGCAGCAAATGGCAACGGTGTATTCCAGCAGGACAACGCTCGACCGCATACAGCACGGATCACGAGAGGCTGTCTACACAACAACAACAACGTTGATGTTCTCCCCTGGCCCTCCATCCGATAGAACACCTGTGGGATGAATCGGATAGACGGCTACTCCGACGTCAACCACAACCCCAAACGTTGCAGCAGTTGGCTTTTGCGTTGCAGGCTGAGAGGGCTACCAATCTCCCAGGATGTGATTGGCATACTTGTCTCTTCCACGTGCAGGAGATATCAGGCCGCTATCGATTCCAACGGGGGTACATACGCATTATTGATAGTAGCTGACCTTCACCTTGGACCTTTCCTATGTACCGATAACTGAGATGACTACAATCACCAAGTGTTCACTCCACAACATTTCGGCTCAATACCTTGTACAGTTCTTCGTATAAATGTATTTTCCAACCTCACACAAATCTGGCTTTCCTTTTCTTTATTTGAAGAGTATATTTTTGTAAAACTTCCCTCCCCCAAGCACCGAATATGAATTTGACACCATCAGCTCACATAACATATGATTGTAGGTTTGAATCAACCTTGACATACAGAAACAACATTCTCAGACTACCGTGATGCTATCCTTGTTTGTTCTGCGTGAAAGGAAAGCCCTGGTCGATCTGGGAAGACAGCAGCACAGTCTGTCAACAACAGGCACCAAGTACCTGGGATCTACTGGGCTGTTGCGATTAAAACCTGAAATTATGATCAGAGATGATATTCATACTGTATGCAGCGTGTTAGGGCGATATAATCACGTTTGACTTGGATGCATTGCTGTGATGGTAGGATCAAAACTATCCCTTTGAAAGTTTTCTGCAGTTCCCCACATTTCTTCAGGTCCCCGCATTTCCTCACGAGGTAAGTAAAACAAGCAGGCGGATTTAGTCCATGGTTTTTTTTGTCATTTTCGAAAACAGTTAGAAAATGAGCAAAACTTGATTTAAGCCGTGTCAGCAATATTGCAGCTACATGTATTCGTTAGAAGGGATTCGAATTTTGTGATCTGTTAAAGAAGTTAGCTCTATCCTCATGTGTAATAAAGAATAGGTTTGCCCTGAGCGTATAGTTCATACATTGAAACGTTGCTATATGCAGTAAATCAGAGTTGTCATCCATAAAGTTTACGTTTTGGTTTTCAAATATATTTTGAGACATGTAAAGTTTTTGAAAAGATTAGAGGATTGCACAAGGCCTTACAGTTGTTCAGATGACAAGGCCACTTGTGCCCAGAAGATATAAAGATATCATAAGATTTGTGTATTTGTTGTTTAACGCCGCTCTCAGCACTATTCCAACTATATGACGGTGGTCTCTAAATAATCGTGTCTGGTCCAGGTGTAGTCAAACAAATCACAAGGTCATTCATGCGTCTTCGAAATATTATAAGAGTTATTAAGTGAGTGAGTATGGTTTTACGCTGCTTTTAGCAATATTCCAACAATATCACGGCTGGGGACACCAGAAATGGGCTTCACACAGTGTACCCATGTCGGGAATCGAACCCGGGTCTTCGGCGTGACGAGCGAACGCTTTAACCACTAGGCTACCCGACCGCCCCTGGAAATATTATAAAAAGTAAACTCGTGTATGTGTAAACTCCAAAGCTAAATTATCCGAGGTTTATCTGATAATGTTGTTACCTGTGATCCAACTGGCAGTGAAGCCAGTGAATGTTGTCAGACTAATGCCGAGAAGTGCAAGCCACACATAAGAGAGCCGGTAGATTTCCTCTATCCATATGCTAAAACACGTTCACTCAAGATGTAAAAAATCCAAATAGTTATACAACACTCACATTTGTGTATGACAACAGGTGCACACATCGCTGCTGAATTGGTTATTCAGAGTATCGATTCACATGTCAGTTAGAAAACCACACGTCCCTGTGGAGATTTTAAAGTAGACACAATTTATGGATAACAACATCTTTTTTTTTACTGTCATGGTGACGTTTCGGTATAGATCTTTATACCGTATTTAAGGATCTATACCGAATCGTCGCTATTACAGTGAAATAAAGTTGTTGTCCATAAACTGTTGTTGTCTACTCTGTCATCCGGCAACTACTGATCAATGCCCATCAAATAATTCATCAGTTGAAATTTGTTTCTAAGTAATATCTTCCCATGGTCGACATAGTCACCTTTTATTGTGCCGCTTAAACTGACAAATGGGAAAATCTAAACATAGATAATGCCAAATTTTTAAATAGTTTATGGCAAGATTACTCATTGTGAGTCTATTAACGATAATACAGGAATATGGTATGCCATATCAACTCAGCGGTCAGCCTATTGTTCAGAAGTCTCGTCACGTGACCAGCCTTATTTAGAAACACACTCGGCAATATTCCAGCCATATGACGGCGGTCTGTAAATAATCGAGTCTGGACCAGACAAACCAGTGATTTTCTATCATGAGCATCGATCCACTCAATTGGGGTTGATGACATGCATCAACCAAGTCAGCAAGCCTGAACACCCGATCCCGTTAGTCACCTTTTACGACAGGCATAATCGCCTTTTACGGCAAGCATTGGTTGCTGAAGACCTACTCTACCCCGGAATCTTCACGGGTCTAATAACTATAGTAAAATGAATGAATAGTGGTCTTTTACTTCTTGTAAGTATTACATGTTACCAAGCTATTTCATTTCAATGCTGTCTCACATGCTTTGTTCAATTGATTTGATACATACGGCTCTCGGAAGGTTTCGGCCACTGATGCGTTGTACACAGATGGTGTAAACGTCGTCCATGTAGACGTGTTTGAAGCCACTGGTGGTGTTGCAGTCATGCATTGGTTAGTTGATGCAGGAGGAAGCCATGGTGTCGGCTTCACAACACCGGAAAATGTAGAACCCAGGCAGATCCACATCATGAGTATTAAACCCACGAGTGTACCGGTGAATGCCCCCTGTCACATGAATAGGATGAGTGAGTGAGTGAGTTGGGTTTAATGCTGCCTTTAACAGTATTCCTGTTATATCTCTGCGTGTTAGCTTAAAGTTGGGGGAAAGCCCGACATGATGCATGTGGAACCCACGAGCAAAGGTATGGTGCTGACAGGCCTAGACACATCATCGGTGTAATTTAATCTAGAAGGAAAGGAACTATTTGCATCATTGGGTTTGGTGGTTGGTATAAACTTTATAAACACATTATTTCCGTATTCAGTTATGTATTATGTTGTGTCTGTCACAGGAAAGGGTGTCAACTTAATGTGTGGTGTAAGCCCGAAATGATACAGGCCCTAGATTTTCGAAACGATCGTAGCCCTAAAAGTATCGTTAAGTTATCGTATGGAAATCGTAGTCTATCGTAGTCTATTTTCAAAACTGTCGTAGCCCTAAGATATTGTAAGATTGTCATAAATCTAAGATAGCCCCATACCTGTCGTAAGTTTATTTTATCTTGATCAAAGATGGCGGCATACTTTACAAACCATTGTTTTCAAACAAATAATCTGTTTTACGTTCAAACATTGACATTTCTGAAAACTGTGGAATTCAAATTGACACTTCGAAAACACGAAGAACGCATCAAAGATTTCACGTCAGAAATGTCCTAAATAGGAACAGCGATCCACATAACTATGGAGTCGATAGCTTACAATATATTTCTATCCGAGTCCATGCTGAAGAAGTGTGAAACAACATACTTTTTCGATAATTTGGGAATGATAAAAACGGAAGGTGTCGGCAGGCTATAGTACTGACCGTGACCTTATTGTCAACTCAGAGGCAGCTTATCATACTCTAACTGAGAGTGGTTTCCCTTTGTATTCGCCCAGCTAGACCTTGCTCAATGTTACAGTTTTCATACAGCGCAGAGTTCCGCTGTAATATTTTCTGGATTGCATATGAGACAATGCTTTAGTCTTTATTTTCGCATGTTATAAAATTACATCAATCTACACATGTGAAATCAAATAAAAAATGGTTTCCCATGCTCTTTTTGGTTCAAAATGTCATCTTAAATTACCGGATGTTGAACATTTTCCAAAAAATCACTTTCCAATATATTTTCGTAGACAATGTTCATTGAATGAAATTTACTGATCAGTATAAAATAGACATTTTTACCGCGATAATCTTTGAATTTTGCATTCAATGGACCTATTTTAAAATAATGATCGATGTTGGTCTTTTTAAAATTCAAGTGTACATTTACTCGTTTTAGATTAATAAAATATAGATACCTGAGACCGTTAACACAATAAAAACATTGTAAAGGATAGAGTCACCGGACAAGTACTATTAGATGACCCTTAGCAATGCTGTCAGACAAGCCAAACGTCATCGAACAACGTTTGGGAATAGATGTCACGCATTTACAATGTGGATACTTCGCTCCTCAGACAGATTTTAATCAAATCAGACAAATCAATTTATTAGCTCTACTTAATTTAAAAGAATAGAGTTCACTTTAACTTGTGGTGTGTTCCATGAGACAACATAACTTGACAATTACTCAAGTATCTCCCTTTGGGAACGAAAATTAGTCACTTTCAAATTTTGATAAGAAGTAAAAATCTAGATAGATTTTTTTGTAAATTATATAATCTAAATACAAAGAGATTGATATTGTATTTGAGTCCTTTGTTTATTCCCAAAATATATTGGATATGTAAAAAACAAAAGAAACATACTTTATGTCATAATGGGTGCGCTGCTTCCTGAACAATTTTTGTTTTGAGTGTTTTCAGATATAATATTGGTGTTTTCTTTATAAACTTGAATTTTGACATAAACACGAAAAGCAAGCAGTATTGTGAAACTGACCAACTATTCATCACATAACATCACTTGAACACGCATCTTAAATGCTGAACGCCTGCTGTTCGATCATAGGTCTCGTCATTGTCATTTAGAATAACGTCCCTTACTTTCGTCTTTGACTTTCGTCCTGTACGCAAAGTGTTAACATAAAGTTCTGCGCGCTCGCGGGAGGGTCTTTTGAAGAGAAACTAGTGAAGTATCTTTTTTGCACATTATTCCAATTCTAATAGCTATATTGTGGTAACACTACACTTTTTGATTATAACATTTATAGGGTTTGAAAAATGCCTTTGCATGACACACGAATGTTATTTGTGTTTAGGTAGTCATGGCATCATTTATCATAAGAACAAAACGTCTACATGAAGGATATATATACGAAGGATTGTACGGAATGTCACTCAAATAGTTGCGTGTTAAACAATGTGACCTGACAATGTGATCATGAATTCCAAGTCACTTGTTATTGTCAGCGGCTGGGATATCTCCGTGACGTCATTTGGAAATACCCCGCTTTTTCAATCTCTGACACAAATGAGTTCTCAGACAGAGTAGCGATAGTTATCGTGTCTTCATGCGATTTGCGAAAGGTTTCTGATAGTTTCGAAAATCTATCTAATCTTAAATTTAAGATATCATATCTTCGAACGTAAGTTGTTAAAATTTATCTCAGCTGAGATCGTTTCGAAAATCTGGACCCTTAGGCTCAGGCGTTTACCAAGTTGGTGAAACCCACGAGCACAGGTGTGGTGCTGACGGGCCAAGAAACATCATCGGTGCCATATGAGCTTGTAACAATCATCAAGTTTGGGTTTGGTATAAACGTTTCCAACACGTTATTACTATATTCAATAATGTATGCTGTTGTATCTGTCACTGGAAAGTTTAAGTATTTGATATTACAATTGCTAACAATTGCTAAGTGAGTGAGTGAGTGAATGCGTGAATGAGTGAGTGAGCGGACAGTATTCAGGTTATATCACGGCATGTCCATATCACATTTTATGTTACAAAAATGCAAACATGATGGGATAATAGACAACGATCACCTTTTCAATATAACTACATGACAGCAATGACTAAAAGAGGATAATGTGGGAACTGTATGTTCAGTAACCTCTTTCTGATGAGATATCCAAAATGCATTTCTCTGAAAATGGTCCACTTTTTCTTATTACTGTATGTTTATTATTGATATTATTTTTAATTTTGACCTTCCCCTTCGGTCTCAAAATTTGCAGTTTTTACTCCAAATACGAAAACAATTTGGACAAATATAGGGTACTCTGCCCTTGTTTCAAGATACTGACCCTTGAAGATCCGGGGTAGAATAGGTCTGCATCAACCAATGCTTGCGACCATGCTTGTTGTAAGAGGCGACTGACGAGATCGGAGTGACAGCCTTACTGACTAGGCTGATGCACGTCATCGTATCCCAATTGGATTGGATTGTCTGGTTCAGCCTCGATTATTTACAGACCGCCGTCACATAGCTCCAAAATATTGCTTAGTGCGGGGTTAAACAACAAACAAACAACACCAAAACCTCGTGATACTGACAAAGTTTGCTCAGTCTGAGACATGCCTGCTAAAATCATCACTTACAAGTTAAAGTGTTTCAGTTGACATTCTTGGTCTTCCCGACCATAAAACGCCTGTTAAAAACTATACCAATGATAGTACCAACCGGATGATGTGTGATCCGTACCTTTGCATTAGCCCAAGGACAAAATGCTGCCAAGATGAATAATCCACACAGAGGTCCGGTAAAGGCCGCTAGGACACTTATGGCTATCTTCAATGAAATATTCATAATTGTGAATAGTTATAGATGCGTGTTTCGCTATCAAGGAGGCTATAATTGCAAAAATAGTGCGTTGGCACTGTAGCTCACTATATAGTCAACGAAGACAGACACTTAAGAAAATTAACAAAAGTTGCTGCCAGCATTGATATTAAATATTACTTCCTGCATAAACACACGTAGGCGTCAGAGCGAGTTTTCTTTTAAAGAAAAACTATTGGGATATCTTTTTTTATTATTTACTTTTGTACATATTGTAACATACACTCTTTGAAAGTAGTCTTAAAGTGAAAATAAAGTGGAAAATTTGAATTTGTTGCGAATATCAATTTTCCTAGATAGTATTTTTATTGAAAATCATTGGGCTTTGAATTTAACACCTAAACCACAAACGTTGTGTTTAGAAAAGGTGGCTAGTACAGTCAGTAGAGAAATGGTCCTGTGATGAAACAAATATTGGTGTTGTTGATAGCTTTACACATCTGGAAATTGTTCGATAGTTACACTGGTGGCGTTTAATGTCAGGTATCAGCTAACCTTGGTTTCCTCAAGGGAGATAATGTTGAGCGATCACACCTTGACTTCTGTAAGCAATTATTAGTTGTTTACATGTAATGCAGTGGTGTTTGCTGGGCTAGGGCGCTGCCTATTAAAATATTAAAGAATGTACAATAGTATTAGTGAGTCAGTGCGTTTAGTTTAACGCCTCTTTCAACAGTATTACTTTAATATCACGGCGTGTTAGCTAAATGTTGGAGGAAAGCCCGAAGTGATGCAGTTATTAATGTTCCTTAAAAATGTCCCAGTAATGTTGAAGAAGAATTTCAGTATCCACTTTATTTGGTAAAGCAAAATCAAACAATATTATCGTAAATCTCTGATAATCTTAATGTTTAAAAATTGAGAATTGAGTACACTACTGCATCTTCTATGCTGTTACTAATTCAGAGCTTATATTGTGGACACAGTAATCAAACGAATGTGCAGGCAGAAAAGCCCCGTGAATGAGATTTAAAAATCCGAGGTGGAAGGAGGCAGACAAGGCGCCGACCAATCGTTGAAATTGTGCAGAGCGACAAACATCATCTACCGTTTTTCAAATTTGATTTTAGTCAAGCATTTATGATGTTGCTATGTTATGTTTACGTGCCCTTCAAACAAAGTTACATGTATGAATCAGAATAAAATTGAATGTATAAACTGTCCTCTCACGGGTGTTCTTGAATCCTGAACAGTTGTATGCAAGGAAACATTTTGGTGCCGATGTCACTTCGAAACATGGCAATTTGCCTTTGACCCTGTTACGGGAATTTTTGCGCCTTAAGATTCATTGGTGTTGACAGCATATCAACGTCACAATGACGACCAATTTAGCTTAGGTTAACTACCTTTACTCTTGTAAACCAAATAATCTGTCCTGGCGAGTTATTTTTATAAATCTATGTTTCTGCAGCAGTGTTCAAAATAAACATCGGCCCATTGGCCCGAGGCTGACAGATTTTTTCTCGGGCTGATAGTTTTATATTTCAGCATGCCCTCACGGCCTGCAGTTTATTTGAAACTGTAAGCATGGTATATGATTCAAAACACTGAGATTGCTTGGTGAAACAGGACCCAGCTTCAATGTACTCCGTTCGTTAACTCTTTCAACACCGTACCGGCCACACCGCAGCCACGTCAAAATAATTCACTTATTAAATCTATCACTTTTCACAAAGTCAGAAAATACGTATTTGATTTCAATTTGTCATATTTATCAATTGAATTAAAATGATGAAGTATTTTCTGCCATGTTATTAAAAATAATAATAATCTGGGACACATGCTTCGAAAACGGATCCATATTGAACATGTCAAAGAGCAATATAAAGACGTTTCAAGCAAAACGTAAATAAATTAATTAATGAAATCACCATTCCTGGTTGACTTGTTGTGTGCTGTGATTTATATTCCAAGAGTATGTCTTCCTGCTTCAGCTGAAATGTTTGGGCCTACAGTTTTTTCCACTGGGCCTACAGTTGTTTAAATATGCTGACCCTTAAGGCTCTCAGTTTGCTCTGCTGAGTTTCAGACACTGATCTGCAGCAAAAAACCAACAATATGTTGAGGCGATCAGTGCTCAAGATTTACCTGATAATACGGATCATTACTGCAACATCTGAACGATCATTCTCAAGTCTTAGGAGACTGAAAACACATCTAAGAAGTACCTTGCCCCAGCAACGTCTTGACAAAGAAGACACAATTTATCATGCTGTTGCACATTTACAAAGAGGACACTGATGGCATAAGCCTTATGGACATTGCCAAGGCATTTGCACATACAAACCAGAGATGTGGTACCTAACCCGCACTGCGATGAAACAAAGCATGTGAATATCGAAGTAAATAATTGTTAGATTTAAGGTATAACACCACCTCACAGACGTCAGTAATTGTTTTACTTTTAAAATATTTATACTAAACAACCTGTCAAGTCAATGCTGTCCTTCATTTGGTGATCACATGAACAGGATTGGACTCATAGTTTCTCTCCACAATATATTTGACCGCAAACTTTATACACTATGATGCCTTCAACATACTTAATACCGTGTCTAAGATATGACACATTAAAGGTGCTAAAGGCAGCTGACAACTGCTTACCTTTATAATTGGGTAAAAAGAAACAAATCATCTTGAACAGACGTTATCGTTTGTGTTAAATTTTGAATCTCTAAACTTTTGTTGCAAAATGGTTGACCATGTGTTTTGAGAATCTACCTAACTTAGACGATTTGGTCCATAAGACAAAACAGTAGTTAAAAGGTATTTTCACTATACGCACGCACGCGCACGAACACGCAGAGGTTGTCGACCTCGCACTCACTATCACGGACAATAACATACTACTTTCCATCTGTCACACAAAATATATCGGACCCTACCTGGTAATAGTAATCAATATGCACCCGGACACAAATCTTTAGCCCTCGTTTTAATTACACGTGTACCAAACATTTTATTACTATTTTAAAACAAATGTCTCTAAAGGGTCGAAAGTGTAAAATCAGATTCGATCCTCGGACACGCAGGCCACAACAAAAGCTCACTTGACTTTCAGTCTGGTGAGCTAAACAATAATAATGTATTAATCTTGCTTCATACCACGCAGATAACAATCCCTTCAGATGAATCAATTTTAGAAAATCAACACTGCTTTTGAAAGTAACGTAAATAACTTTATTTCCCTGTTTAGAGCAAAGGACTGTTAAATTGAATAAGTGAGTGAGTGAGTTTGGTTTTACGCCGCTTTTAGCAATATTCCAGCAATATCACGGCGGGGGACACCAGAAATGGGCTTCACACATTGTACCCATGTCGGGAATCGAACCCGGGTTTTCGGCGTGACGAGCTAACGCTTAAACCACTAGGCTACCCGACCGCCCCTGAATAAGTGAGTCCACATGATATTAAGATGAGTTTCCATACCTGCCACAATGTCCCTCCGACCAAGGATATTAGGATGGCTACCCCAAAGGAAAACACTCCGTAGATCATCACTGAAAGGAGATCAGACATGTATATGATATATAGAGGACATATATGAGCGTCATTCTTTGTTTTCGACACGAGTGTCTAAATTCCGGTATTTTCCTTGCGAGAACGAGTTTTTTTGTACAAGTGTTCGTTTGTTTTCACTTGTTAACCCAACATTTTATCATGAATTTGGAAAATACTGATTTTGATTGGTCAGAGGTAATCACATCACAATAACCCCATCTGTTTTGAACAACCGATTTGACGGCCGCATCACCGCGGAGGCTATATCGTTAGAATAGTACTTCTTTTACAGTCAGTGTGAGTAGGCATAGTTTAATAATTATATGTACAATTACAGGCTACAAAATGCAAAGTTGCGGATACAGCAATATTCATCATGAGTGGCAATACATATTGTGCAGAAAACACGGTAGAAATATAGAAGGAGAATTAATATTAAGTTTTTAGGACAACAGAGAGCTTGCTATTTGGCACTTGCCTATATATAATTACTGTGACGACATATTTTTTGCGTCACAATGAGCCATATGACATGAAAATTGTGACGCGGGGCCTAGAACGAAACAATTGCAAGGCTTTGATTGATTTCTTCAGGGGAGCCAACCTCATGTTAGCTGACCAAGTTGCCGTGCTACATGCTTTCAGAGCCTGTCATAAGTTCGACCTAAGTAATACGGTGTAAACAAAATGTTTGAGGTTATATAGCGCCATATTTAGTTCAAAGGCTGTTGTCAGTTTACTTTGTGTTGCCTATGTTTTGTGTCAGGGATGAAATCGCGATTGTTTTCGTTGTCTGATCGACTTGGTTGTCGCCAATGGTAGTCGCCATCTTTGTGAAGCTATACGATATTAGAACAGTGATCTGATTGGATATCGCGTTTTCATTACGAGGGGCTCAACTAGTGATCCATGCGAGGTGGCGCCAGAGTCGAGCCCAGGAAAGTGGCCTTGTTGTGGCAAGGGTAGAAACTAGGCTTTGATATAGGCTAGTGGACACGCTTGCCTCGGGAAGACGGGTGTGGGTAGTCAAAAAATGACACAGACATATACACACATATCAAACATGTGTTCGCAACATCCTACCTGCTACTTTAGCTACAAGTGTTGCCTTGAAGTCGGAATGGTTTGGCAGGTGATGCTTGAGGATGTCTTCCCAGGTTGTGGCCGACAGACTGGACAGCCCAGAGGAAATAGTGCTGGAGGGATTATGTAAAATGTAGACTTCAATCTCAACAAACGCCATTCAAGGAATTATTTAATACCTTAACATGTACACATAAACCATGTCGGCCTTTGTTAGATGTCATCCTACATGGACACATACTATGTGACAATTTCTCATGGGCCAAACGACATTTGTTATATCTTCATACACAAAGTATTGTTACTTCTACTTCAGAGAACTGACGTTCAGCTGTGTACTGATAATGATAGCTGCCAAGAGTCTTTACTAGCTGTTTCCCGGTCCAGTGCTCGGTGTTAAGGGGATTTAGCAAGGACTGGTCGTCTCAGAATCAGTATACTGTGTCTGAGTGAAGTATCCATTTTAAGGTGCCGTATGATGTCTCAGTGGGCTAGCACTATAAAACCGGCATTAGTCCGGACAAGTAGAGCATGCATGAACGTCACTAAAAATTAGCGCAATAATACTGACCGCGACGTTAAGCCACGTCTTATCCCCCCATTCCCTCACCTCAGTGAGGCACTACAGAGAGCTGCCACAAACAGTCCCAGCATCCCAGGGATACCTTTGAATATGTCCACAGTCAGGAAGGGAATGATCTGAAAAGTATCATTTGGCCCACAGTACTTTAAACTGACATTGTGTAAAACACATTTACAAAAAACAGTTGGTGTTTTAGTATGACTATTAACGTCATCAGAGTCGTGTATCGCTGCCATCAGGCAATCTTCCCGAGGCACGGTAATTAACTGACTACAAGAATCCAGTGTCCACCCTGGCCCAACTAGGCTGGAATTATGAGTTATGTTTTGGCTGGACTAGCGAGTGTGTGCATAGTCCAATCAAAATCCTGTAACGAAATCGGCACCCGCGGTGCCATATTCGTTCGATTGCAGGATGCATTCCGTCAACTGGGTGTCGACAGATATTTTCCAAATCTTTTTACGTTTTAAACCAAGGTGCTCAAGTGATTCAATGCAGATAGAATCCTCGTTTTATTACAATAAAGATCATTTTTGTCGATGAAATCGTCTTGACTCGCTGCCATTTTGTTTAAGGCAAGTGCAAGATATATGAGAGGTGGAATCTGATTGGTCAGTAGGGGGGACATACAAGAGACATAGCCACTGGTGGATCTACGATCGAGCCTATAAATTACAGCCAAGTTTGGCAAGGGTGGAAATTCGACTTTTTAAGTCAGTTAACTCCCTTCCCTTGGCAATATTCCATTTTAGCGTGATTCCGCAGTTGGCTTACGTGCTTATAACACAACACCTTGACGTAGTTTTTCCATACTATACACATGCCATGAAAGTAAGACACAATAGTCAAATATGGGTCAGTTCTAGACGGAAAACAGGTTGGTACCTGATTTGGGTTGGTGATTTGACCAGAAGCAAGCGGATCGCACCCCAGATGATCGTAATAGGAGTAAGCCACGATACCGATTAGTATGGAGAGTGTAAAAGACAGCCAGTAGATTGGACCGGCGAGAAAGGTAACTCTGGAGGAGGAAGCATGTCACAAGAGTCATTACAAGATAACTTTGATCAAGTGGATCAACACGACGCAAAGAAATTAATTTTGTAGCATACCTGTGATGAATGCTAGAATTTATAGTGTCATAAATAACACACACGTGTAATCCAGAAGATAAAACAAGTTGTAATTTGCATGTGGTTCCTTCAGAATCAGGAATGAGAATATGGCACATTTCAGTGTAAGTAGTTATGTCATATAAAAGTAGAAAACAAACATATTATGAAAACAAAACTAATATTTTGTTTTCAAAATAATGACTTCCTGAAACATTTGTTATTCTTTTCAAGGACCACGTCCAAGTTGACACAATCATAGTACATAGGACACTGTTGACATCGACATATCTACAGTGGTAAATTTATTAATATTGTTTTCATAATTATTTCTTTCAAAGTAATCATTACAATGTTGTAATATTATTTTATAATGAAGTTGATCTGCACATGGAGATATTGATAAAATTGAAACCCACAACGTTGTGTGTGCGTTTGATATTTTTAACCATGAACCATTCTTCTCCATGACAGTCCCCTCCCTAATGATAATATCCTTACTCCTGTAGCCTGACACGTCAATCAATTATTAACACTGTATATATAAAATGGTGCTTTGGTGCAATGATAACATGACATTGGCTGTGCAATACATATGCTAAATAGGTTAATATAGTCACTATATTTACTAATACACATACACTCTTTAAAAAAATGCACAGGTATTATGTAGTTCATTGAACCTGACTACACAAAAAATCCGGAATATAAATTGGATATATGTTATTGGAAAATGTTGGTGCCCTGATATTCAACAAACGGTGCGTCAGAGCACAGCCATTGTCGATTTGCAATGTCTTAAACGGCATTGTTTTCACACTTGTTTAAAAATGTCATGGAGGAAAACATTAAAGCAAAATGTACGTGCACGTTATGGCATTCGTAACTCGTGGTATTGGCTCGGAGGCAAGCATAAACCAATAATCTGTCATTCAATTGTCAAAATTCGAAAATGCCGAGACTCAGCGCTGCCGATCCGAACATCGCCATAGGACGTATCCAAAGAGGGGAATCGCAGTCTTCTGTTGGACGCCACTTCAACGTCCACCACAGCACCATTTGCCGCCTTTGTGACCGATACACACAGTTCAATTCCATTGCAGACCGTCCGAGAACGGGCCGACCAAGAGTTATCACCCCTGCACAGAATTGCTACATTGGACTGTTCCACCTACGTCATCGCAATGCCACAGCTACGGAGACTGCAGGGCGCATCCCTGGCTTTAGGAGGATATCGGACCAGACTGTCAGGAACCATCTTTGCGAGGCTGGAATCCGTTATCGTCCCTGTTTTGCAACAGGTCCATCGACAGCGACGCTTGGGTTGGTGCCATACCTTACAGCCTTGGAATATGAGAAACTGGAGACGAGTGTGGTTTAGCGATGAATCACGATTTCTTCTTCGCCGGCCAGATGAAAGACAACGTGTTTATCGTCGTCGAAATGAGCGTTTTGCCCCACATTGTGTACGTGAATTCGACAAATTCGGTGGCGGTAGTGTCATGGCGTGGGGGGACATTTCCTACACCACGAGATCTGACTTGGTTGTGGTCCAGGAAATTTGACAGCAAATCGCTACAATCAAATTCTTCAACCTCACCTTCTTCCAATTATTGACCGCCAACAGGACAACGCTCCACCGCACACAGCTCGTGTCATGGTAGAATACGCTTCATAATGCGAACCTCAACGTAATGCCCTGGCCCTCGAGATCTCCAGATTTTAACCCAATCGCCCACCTCTGGGATGAGCTCGATCGACGTGTACGTCGACGTCAGAACACTCCGTGGACACTCCCTCAACTGGCCAACGCTTTACAAGCAGAATGGCGCAAAATTCCGCAGGACAGAATTCGTACACTCATCCAGTCAGTGCCGAGCAGATGCAGAGCCGTGTATGCTGCCCGGGGCGGTCGCACGAGATACTGAGTTCAGCGCAACCTTGTGGCCTTATGTGACATGACAATGAACAGTTTCCAATGCCTTTGTACAACGACAACATGTGTCTAAATTTCATATTTGTATCTGTGATATTAAATCAAATATATCGACTTTTTTGGTTCAATAAATTTACTAAAAATCGATCTGTGCGTTTCTTTTTTTGAAGAAGATATATAATCCCACACGTGGTGAACAATGCATTCCTTTAACAGGACAGTATCATTCTGAACACAATTTCTGTTGTTTTGGAATTATTTTGTCTCGCTTATTGATGCTTATTTTCATAACATACACTACTTTGGATGGTTCTGCAAGAAACATATATCCAGTCATTATCTATCGATTATTTATGTTCTTGTCAGACAAATAGTTGTCATTATTAGAAATTTTCAATCATATCTCAACATTTCATTTCTTACACTTTAAGTACTAATAAAGATAGGCGTCTCTGAAACTGATTGCCTTGTTAACAAGTCATACTTCTGTGCTCCCTTCAGCGTCTTCATGGAACATATACGTTGTACGGTTGATTGGTTGAATGACAAATTGATTCCTCTTGCCAAGTTCCCAAAGTACAGCCCCCAGAACGTGTGGCGCACAGTTGGATCAGGATCAAAGCTGTAAATTGATAAGATGTTAGTCGGTAATGCGTTCTTCCGTGATGTGATCTTGTCACAAAAGGAACTAAGGAATCATTAACTTTCAGTAGGTAAGAAACTTTCCCAACACGTTTTTTCTATATTCATGCATGCATACTGTTGTACTGCTGTACCTGTCACTGGAAAATTTAAGGATCTTATACGGTAACAATTGCTAACAATTGAAAAGAATACCAGCTGAGTGAGTGAGTGAGTGAGTGAACAGTATTCCCGTTATATCACGGCGTGTCAGCTTCATAAGGGAGGAACGGCTGAATCGACCACGTTGATGAAACCCACGAGCTCGAGAATGGAGCTGACAAACCTCCAATGTGTTAGAACCGGGATTTAAGCCCACGATTATTGGTTTTAATTTCCGAGGGACTCGACTTTGCACAGTGACTTGCGGCGTCTTACATTGCTTGGCAACCAGCGCCCCCACAAGCTATGAGTTCAGCCCGTTGAAAGTGTTGCATGTCAATTTGTGAATTGGTGTGTTTATTATTCACGAAGTGGAAGGGGGATATAGGAATGGGTGCTGTCCGTCCGTCCATCACATTTCGTTTCCGGAGCAGATCTTGAAAACCGTACCATATTTCTTCACAAAACTTGGCACATAGATAGGTCTAGTGGTGAACTGGTGCCTTTTGATAGTTTGGGATTTTAAAAAAAAAAAAAATTTTGAGTTTCCATGGCAGGGACTTTGATTTAGACTGAAAATGGTGGTAGTCCTCGTTTCCGTAGCAGATCTTGAAAACCGTACTATATTTCTTCACCAAACTTGGCACATAATGTCATCTCACAGTATTGAATACATTTCCTTTTTGTTGGTAAGTTCTGCATTGCTTGAGTGTATGTTCCTCCAAAAGTGTCATGGACACAGTTGTTGCATTCACTGACTAACTTCATGCAGAAACACAACTCATTACAAATACAACAGTGTAACTGATCTTAAACCTACTCAACTGTATAAACACTATATATTCTTGTCAACCATACTCTGTACTTCACTTGCTTGATAACGATGTCAGAACCTACACCGAAACCATCGCTCCTAATTGTAATAAAGAAGTTGTTTGTCCATATGTCTCATCCTTACTCATTACAAATTCAGTTACATATTCTATCATAAACTGCAGATGGAAAAACAACACCAGTAATAACTTTTTTTAGTGCTGCAATTAGGCCATTTACAAAAAGGCCCAGTTGCACACAACCCGACATGTCATATTGGCGGGGGGATGTGAGTATTTCATGCTTGTTTATTTTGAGGGAGAAGCAGTTGTTTTGGGGAGCAGGGAAAGGCGTTTAAGAAGCCTTAGGCGAGTTGCACATTGAAATCATAAGGGTGAAAGAAAACTGTACATACTTTAACATGTTAAATCTTCCGCCTTTGGATGCAGCAGACCACACTTCCACCACTCCCCCGACATCTACGGTACCCTGGAAAGTGAAACGTGTTTGTTTGTTGTTCAACACCGCACTCAAGATCAAGATCAAGAGGTTTTATTGTACTTAAGGCCTCCGGCCCATACACAAAACAAGGGTACAAAGAGATAATATCCGTGAGTACAACACAGCTGTAGAGATGTGCTGCATACAATACATATACATATACAATACACTCAGCAATATTCAAGCTATATGACGGCGGTCTGTAAATATCTAGACCAGACAATCCAGTGATTGACAACTTGAGCATCGATCAACGCAATTGGGATACGATCACATGCATCAAGTCAGCGAGCCTAACGATCCCGTTAGTCGCGGGAAAATGACAGTCTACCTGTCTGATCATCAAAGAACATCTGAGTAGAACTCGCTAACGATGAGTGCCCTATTCTAGTTATAGATACTGTCTTCATTATTTACCTGTCTGACAACTGCCTGGCTGACAAAAGGGAATAACCAGTGTTAATAGGATATATAGCAATCAATGACTTGCCGTATCCCTGTTAATGTATACTGAACCGCAAAAGAAACGTCACCATGGATAGATATATTAGACCTTATTTGTCCAAACACTGTAAACATACTTTGAGACATATTAAAAAGGTGAAACTTTGCAAAACTGATCATCAAGGTTGAAATTAAAGTGTAAAATGTTCTTAAAGTGAAACACAACTCTCGTCTCTGAGAAAATGGCATCACAAGTCAGCATCTTGTGTGTCCGCCATGTGCATTGATGACTGACGTGCAACGTCAATGCATGGAATGGATGAGGCGGATGATGAAGGCCAAAGGCACTTGAGCCTACACTCTGAGGAACGCCTGACGCAGTTCAGCTGCAGTTGTCGGCCTTGGTCGGACGTCATTCAGCGGTCTTTGAATCTCGTCCCACAGGTGCTCAATGGGATTTAAATCGGGACTGAGGGCAGGCCACTGCATGGTTCTGATGCCATACTGCCGGAGGAAGTCTCTTGTTGCTCTCGCAGTGTGGGCACGGGCGTTATCATGCTGAATCTCGTGGTTGCGGCGACGTGCCAAATGAGGTATGGCGTGTGGTCTCAAGATCAATGTACCGAGCTCCTGTGACACCATAGCCTCTCCCTGGACCGATGTTCTGGAAGACCAAGGGCCGGCCCTCAGTGCAAGACCAATTCCACCCCACACCACGATGCTCGGACCACTCCACAAGTCTCTCTCAACAACACAAGCATCCGAGTAATATTCCCCATGGCCTACAGTAACGGCTCTCGTCTGAGAATAGGAATAGGAGAATGCTGATGGCGCCAATGTTGGTGCTGTGTTGCCCACTGAAGAAGGTCCCGGCGATGACGTGGTGTCAGAATGGGTCCTCGGTGTGGCCTGTGACAGTGGAGGTACCTGCACGTCAATCGTCGACGCACGGTGTCCGCACTAATGCGCCGCTGGTGTGTTCCCGTGGTCTGTCGAGCAGATTCCGCAGCAGTAACAAAGCGATCTTGAAGATGCTGTCGCACAATCTGACGATCCTGACGATCCGGTGTCCCTTGGCTTTCCACTACGTGGTCGGTCATCTGTAGTGTTGGTGGTTTGGCACCGTTGCTGGAGCCTGTATATGGTCCTTACGTGGACTTGAAATGCATTGGCTACTTACATGGCGGTTTTTCCAGCTTGCCATCGTCCAAGGGCTTTGTGTCGCTGATTTCTTGTCAATCTTGGCATGTGGTAGCAAATCAATAACGAATGAATGTTATCCGATCTGGGTGGATTTTTATAGGGCAGGAAATGGGGGAACGCATGTGCATTTCAATTTGCACGGAAATAACGTGCATCGGGTTGCTATGGCCGTTGCCGTGATGCGTTTGGGCGATCGGTTTTATTGTCATCTGCTTTGTTTTTTTATCATCAAATTTCATTTTTCTGAACAAGGGAATGTTAAATTTGAGAAGCTTTGACAAAATTTACCCAGATATTTAAATGACAAATTTTCATGCAATGTTACTTGGGGTGAAGTTTCCATTGCGGTTCAGTAAAGTAATTTAATCTACAGTTGGGCACGAAAATGGGTTTTATGGAATGAATATTTGATTGTGATTCATAAGCATCTGCTCATCATGTAGTGTGAATCGGAATCGTACAATCGACATTTTTTGCAGAACCCTATATTGACACATGTCAGTGCAACAAAGGAGAGCTTATTAAGATTGTTATTATTATAACAAACACACAATAAATATCGAAATATATGTAATGGTCTAATCGAATTTCGTTAATTTCTTCGCCAAGTCAATGGTGTTGCTCAACTAATTCGGCATCGGGTGAAAGCAAGAATCGTATTGACCATGATTTATTATGTGGTGCGCATCGTTCATTGGCTGAAAATAGAACAGAACCATGTCACTGATTTCGTACTCTTGTGTATATTTGTGTGTGTGTGTGTGTGTGTGTGTGTGTGTGTGTGTGTGTGTGTGTGTGTGTGTGTGTGTGTGTGTGTGTGTGTGTGTGTGTGTGTGTGTAAATCAATAAATAAGCTGTCTGTGAAGTAATTTTTGTTGACAATATATATATTTATGAGAATAGACTTCAATACTTGCTTTTATGGACATACATACATACACACATACATATATAAGATAGCTCCGCGATAATTCGCAAAGAGCAATGACGAAGTGTGGTTAAGTTCACGATGAAACATTGTTCTGTCATGAGGTCATTTCTAAAGATTCGAACATGCGCATTTGAACTTGATGACGTCGTATATTGTATCTACCTAGTTGTTCCCCATAGGTTTAAATGCAGTGGCCAAACAATCGGATCTAAAGTGCGAAAGATATGACACTCGGTACTTGGATAAAAGGTACAGTTAATCGATGTGAGAATTGTGAGAATATGCGTTAGATACCAATACCAATACCTGTGCATAAAATTTACTTGTCCGACATTGCGGGAGTCTTCATTATTCAAATACCGGTAAACTTTGTTAATGCTTGGACATCCTTAACGAAGCTATACATTATGTTGATATGTCATATAAAAAACCAATGAGCACACTTTGTGTAAATGCTCGCATTAGTCAATTTATATATATCTCATTTTAAATCAGCAAATACAGCCCGCGTCATTTTATTCTTGAAAACAGTGATATCACTTGTGTTTACTACCTCGTATGTCAGGAAAAATTTGGGATTGTCAAAGGTTTGTTCCCTGCAATATGTTGGGTCACGTGTTGCAAAAGAGTGGTTGACGGGTTGCATACATACATGGTTGACGGATTGCACACGTGTGGTTGACCGATTCCACATGAACCATTGACCAGGTGCACACGTTTGGGACACACGTTGCCCATGTGTGTAAAGCCATTCCAGGAAGTGAAACTCACCTTAATGATAATGACCAGGGTTCCAAGGGTCATAATGAAAGCCTGGAAGACATCGGTCCATACAACTGCTTTGATACCTCCCTATGCATTAAAAAAAATTTACAGTAAAGTCCTCACTCACTCATTAACAAAGCAACAGCCTCACGCAAAAACACATTTAGGG